TAGTGGAAGTAGTCGCGGAACGTCTGGATATGCGAGATAACATCTGGCATGCGTTGGGGTGTCAAATGTCTCGGGAAAAGCACTGTATGGCAGCAACATCCTTGTTAGCGGTTGAATTCCCCACGGAGAAACAAAACGAGACGAACTAACCAAATGTCACATAGCCAATGTCCCCGTTGCCAGAGTCCCTCACACCGGGGACGCCCTGCAGCTCGAGAGGCGGGTCGTTGCGGAAGAGGACCTGGGGCGCGTTCTGGATGGCACGGCGGCGAGCGTCGACGAACTCCTGGATAAAGACCTTCCCGTAGATGCGGTCCGTCTCCTCGCGGAAAATGGTGCTGAAGATCACGGTGACGCGGTCGTGGCTGGCCTTGACGTAAATGGCCTCCTCCTCGCGGTAGTGGATTGCCATGACCTCGCCGCCCTCGCGCACACCCTGCGGCGCCTCCTCCGACGTGTACTGGGACGCGGCCTCCTTGAGCTTGTAGTGCTCCTCATACGCATGCTCGAACGGGGCCGCCATGGCGTTGCGCTTCAAGAGGGCGATTTTCTTGACTAGCTCCTCGCGTGCTTCTGCGATATGGCAGCTCCCAACCCCTTCGTTAGCTGGCACAGATTCATGGGTGCGTGACGGTGCGTGGCGAGGGCCGAGGCCGAGGGTCGTGTCTCGGTAACTAACCCGGTTCGGCGGGCAGGTCCTCAAGGTCGACCATGACGGAAAAGTCGTAGCCCGGCTCAGGGGGAGCGACGTATTGGCCATACTCGCGGTTCAGGACCTGCTCGGCGCCATACTGCACAAGGTCCTTCCAGCATCTTATTTGGAGGGACACGAGGATCTTGGTCTTGGTCTCGGGGGTGGAGATGTGGAAGATGACGCCGTCGAAATCGGAGACGGTCTGGTCGATCGAGACGGGCGGTGCTCTGGATGGACAGGTGACTCGTTAGAAGGGTACTAATCCTAGTCGGCAAGGCCGTAAGCTCTTGAATATCATCTCCAGACACTTACCCAGAGAACCGCTCAGTCAAGACCGACTGGATAAGCACGTTCTGGTAGTCCAGGAGAAGCATTTTGGCGGGTGGCGGGTGGCCGACAGGCGGTATGTCGGGTCTGGAGCTGGTTCGGTCTGGTCCTTGATGGGTGCGCCCTGTCCTGTTCAGCAGCTCGCGGCTATGGTGGGGTTGCGGTCTGCTTGGCTGCTGGGACCGACATCATCAGCTTGCTCCATTGATCCACCCCTTTTCAGCCACGACGCTGAGCTATTGATGGTATGTGCTAGCGGGCATGCAGGTGGGCGTGTGGGGTGCGGATCAACATGATGCCTCAGGCATTGAATAGACCCACACATGGTTCTCTAGCCTATCAAAAGCTATCATGGATTCCGGGGAGGGATTCCGCTGCGAGCTAGTTCGCTGCTTATCTTATCGGCTCAAAAAAAAAAGTTCCTGATGCGCGGCGCATCGCGGCGTCGCGAGAAGCTGAGTCGACTTCCCAGGACAGTGCAGCCAATATTGTGCGCGTGAAGCAGCAAAAATGGTGAAATCATACTTGTAAGTCTGGCATACCCTACTGCTTCTGGAGTTTCGCTAAATTCTCTCGCCCTAGGAAATTCGAACACTCCAAATCGTTCGGCCTTGTCAGCTCCAGCACCTCCAACATCGTATGGTTCTCCAAGGAGGCGAAGGGAACTGGCGCCGGCCAGGTTGTCACGGCGGCCAATGAGGAGGTTCTCTGCTGGGATGTCAAGAAGGGCGAGCTCCTATCACGCTGGAGGGACGAGAAGTGCAAGGCGCAGGTGACGGCCCTCGCGCAAAGCAAGACCGACCCCGATGTCTTCGCCGTGGGCCACGAGGACGGCAGCATCCGCTTATGGGACAGCAAGATTTCCACCATTATTGTGAGCTTTAACGGCCACCGCTCGGCAATTACAACCCTCGCATTCGATAAATCCGGCACTAGACTCGCGAGTGGCTCCAAGGATACCGACGTCATCGTCTGGGATCTTGTTGCCGAGGTTGGCCAGTATAAGCTCCGAGGCCACAAGGATCAAGTCACCGGACTGCAATTCGTCGAGCCCGAGCCCCCAGCTCCGGAGGACCTTGAGGATGGCGGCAATTCCCTGGCTATGGTGGTCGACAGTGAGAGCTCGGAAGGTTTCCTCCTGACAACGGCCAAAGACTCCCTCATCAAGCTGTGGGACTTATCTTCGAGATTCTGCGTTGAGACCCATGTCACGCAGACCAATGGCGAGTGCTGGGCCCTCGGGGTCAACCCGGACTGCAGCGCTTGCGTCACTGCTGGCAACGATGGAGAGTTGAAGGTGTGGTCGATAGATGTGCCCACCCTTCTGACCTCTACCAAGCAGGTTGAGGTCTCCAAGCTGGGCCAAATTCTTCAAGACCGCGGCACCCTGCACCGGAACGGCAAAGATCGTGCAGTTGAGGTCCGCTTCCACCCGCGCAAAAGCTATTTTGCTGTGCACGGCGTGGACAAATCCGTCGAGGTCTGGAGGATGCGGACAGAGGCCGAAGTGAAGAAGAGCCTGGCTCGCAAGCGCAGGAGACGACGAGAGAAGCAAGGCGTCAAGCAGGATGCCGATGTGGCTATAGTCGAGGACGGTGACGACAAGGACGACATCTCTCAAGCTGACGTGTCCGATATCTTCGTTCAGCACGTCATCGTTCGCACCACGGGCAAGGCCAGGTCTGTAGACTGGGCCATCACTCAGGGGACGAAAGATCTACAGCTCGTGGTCGGCACAACAAACAACCAAATCGAACTTTGGAATATCACAACCTTGAGGGAAAAGAGCAAGGCGAAGGGCAAAGCCGAGGACTACACAAGGACGCTGTCGGTTGAGCTACCGGGTCACAGGACCGACATCAGAGCGATTGCTTTAAGTTCAGACGACAGGATGCTGGCCTCTGCCGCCAACGGAAGCCTGAAAATCTGGAACATAAGGACACAAACGTGCATCCGGACATTCGACTGCGGCTACGCCCTGTGCTGTGCTTTTCTGCCTGGCGACAAGGTCGTGGTGGTTGGTACAAAAAGCGGAGAGCTCGAGCTGTTTGACGTGGCGTCTACGGCCCTGCTAGACAGCGTGTCTGCTCACGAGGGTGCGATATGGTCACTACACGTCCACCCTGACGGTCGATCAGTCGCTACCGGCAGTGCAGACAAGACGGCCAAGTTCTGGGACTTCCGGATCATCCAAGAGCCCGTTCTCGGCACCACAAGGACCGTCCCGAAGCTCAAACTGGTGCAGACTAGGGTACTCAAGGTGTCAGACGATATTCTCAGCCTGAGGTATAGCCCAGACTCCAGGATGCTAGCCGTGGCTCTCCTGGACAGCACAGTTAAGGTGTTCTTCACCGACTCGCTCAAGCTGTACCTGAACCTCTACGGCCACAAGCTCCCGGTTCTGAGCATGGACATCTCGTACGACAGTAAGCTCATCGTCACGAGCTCGGCCGATAAGAATGTCAAGATCTGGGGTCTCGATTTTGGCGACTGTCACAAGTCGCTGTTTGGACACCAGGACAGCATCCTGCAGGTGGCTTTTGTGCCGCACAACTCGGACGGGAATGGACATCACTTTTTCAGCACCAGCAAGGACCGGTCGATAAAGTACTGGGACGGCGACAAATTCGAGCAGGTCCAACGCCTGGATGGTCATCACGGAGAGGTCTGGGCTCTTGCAGTAAGTCGCAGTGGCAGATTCATTGTCAGTGCGAGCCACGACAAGAGCATCCGCGTCTGGGAAGAGACCGACGAGCAGATCTTCCTGGAAGAAGAGAAGGAGAAAGAGATCGAAGAGCTGTACGAGAGCACGCTTACGGCCTCGTTAGAGCGGGATGAGGACGACCAAGATAAAGAGGGCGACGAGGTCGGCGCTGCATCCAAGCAGACGGTCGAGACGCTCATGGCAGGTGAAAGGATACAAGAGGCTCTAGAGCTAGGGATGCAGGACCTCAACACTGTGACGGAATGGCGCCACGCGAGGCTCACAAACCCCAACCTCGCACCACCACAACGCCATCCGATATTCGTGGCCCTGGGCGACATCAGCGCCGAGTCGCATGTCATGGGGGTGCTGCAGCGCATCAAGGCGTCGGCGCTGCACGACGCGCTACTAGTGCTCCCGTTTGCGACGGTGCCTTCGCTGTTCACGTTCCTGGAGATCTTTGCGTCACGCGAGATGAACACGCCGCTCACGTGCCGCATCCTCTTCTTCATGCTGCGGGCTCACCACCGGCAGATCGTGGCCAGCCGCACGATGCGCGCGGCGCTGGACGGCATCCGATCCAGCCTCAGGCGCGCACTGAAGCGGCAGAAGGACGAGATGGGCTACAACATTGCGGCGCTCAAGGTCGTGGGCATGCAGGTCCGCGAGCGGAGCGTCAAGGACTACGTCGACGAGAACTGGGACGACGGGACGGATGGGCAAAACGCCAGGAAGAGGACTTTTGTCCACGTATCATAGGAGGGTTGCAATTGCCCCTGAGCTGCACCTGCCCGGCTGCTTGTCGGCTAAATAGTGCCGGCTGCGCTATAAACCAACATCCATCACCTCGGCCGACACTGCCACCTGCCCCTTGTGCCACAGTTAGACGGGCGGAGCACTTCCCGAAGGGGATTGCCGTAGGTCTGTGCATGTTACTGCCCGCTCGCTTTTACCCACATAAACAAGATCAGATCGCTGGGCAGGTTTGGCCTCGGAAGTACCAACACTATCCACGCTGTGGAGCCATGTTGCTTGCTATCCATCACAATCAACATCTTTGTCGCGTGTCAACTAAGGAGGACGAGCTTAGATGGAAGGTATCCCTATCCTGCACTGGGCCCTGTGGGGGGCAGTAACATGACTCGACCAGCCCTCGGAAAAAAAATAAACAAAGAGGGCCAGGCAGGATGACGGGAGGGATCCCCCGTTGGTGGGACCACGCAACTTGGGACCGAGGGCCTTCTCTCCGCTTTGTGCAACGCTGCCCGCACGACACGACCCAGGGGGGCCGCCGCAGCGAGCGAAGCGAAAGGAAGAGGGGAGGTTTTTGAGTGGTGGTGTGTGGCCGGCCTTGTTTGCTCGCTGTGGGCTCTCTCACCGGGGGGGATCCTCGCGACATTTCGCGAGAGAAATAAACCCCCATGGGTGACAGGAACCCGTCCCTCCCCGTTACCTATCGGGTGCTCTGCCCTGTGGCCGTGGGCACCACCCCCATGCGAGGAGGAGGTCGGGTACCTACAGGGAAAGTAGGATATTAAACGTTACGCTATGGGTCTGGTCAGCAGGGTAGCGATACATCGGTTTGGCGGGCTTTTCTATAGGAAAAAATGTAGTTGGGACGTGGCCTAATTAGGAAGGATCTGCGGGTCGTAACGTTTGATATCCTACTTTCCTATACCATGTGCAAGGGAAACAAAGGATAAAAACTCACCCAGTAACAGGGGGGTTAAAACAGGAGATCACAAGGGTAACGAAGGGGGGGTTACGTGGTGGCATGAAGTCACTGCTATTGCTGAAGTTAGTGAAAGAAGGAAAGAAATCGAGAAAAGCTTTTAAAGGACGAGAAATTCTCGAAGTCTCGTAACATCCCCGCAAATCACCAAAACCTCTGCGATCTCCAGTTTTAACCCCCCTGTTACTGGGTGGGTTTTTATCCTTTGTTTCCCTTGCAGATGGTAGGAGGCGAAACGAAACAGTCTGTCCACTTTGGCTGCTGCGTTTGGGGCGGCCCCTCGCGGGATTGGTTGGGGAGGGATCATATGTGATTCTTCTTATTCTCTTTCATCTCCTTACTCCGACGTGGGGTTCACGTCGCTTTCTTAATGGAAGTCTGTCATTCGTGAGAGTGGCCGGGAATAGCGATGGTGGTTGGATTCTCAGATATTGGCGTGATCGATTTATATTGTATACCACCACCCCCTATCTTATCCGCCCTCCTTTCTTACGTGCGGTTTCTCGCCATCTTTGCGTTCTTTTCCCACCCACTCTGGACGATCTTCCCTCCGGCGACTTTTCTCTTCCTGCGTCTTCATCCACCTACTAGATCCGGCCGTCAATCTTTACATCCATCATGGGTAGCCAAGGACCCTCCGTCTTCACCCTCAAGGAGGCTCCGATCGAGAATCTCCGGCCCCTGAAAGTGCGGGTTATCGGCGCGGGCTTCTCGGGGATCCTCGCCGCCATCAGGTAAACCACCGACCTCTACTGCTTTTGCCTTGTCCCGAGTGTACCGCTAATAAGATGGCGAATCTCCAGAATTCCGGAGAAGCTCAGGAACATCGACCTTGCCGTCTATGAGAAGAGTGACGGAATTGGGGGTGTATGGTAAGTAAAAACTCCAGACGTCGCGTCCCCGATGGGCGGCAGTTCCCTTCCACAAACTCGATCGTGACACGCGTGCATTTTCTTTTGGCTGACAAGAACCGTCACGCTGGCAGGTGGCTAAGCAAGTATCCAGGTGCGACTGCTCTTTTTCTCATCTCCCTTTTGCAACCAGGCTCGGCAAAGGAAGAAAGAAAAAAACCTTTGCGGGGGTGCCCGGTAAGGCTTGGTCGCTAACACAAGCCTCCCCGGAGCTCGGCTAAACAGGGATCGCCTGTGATATACCCTGTAAGTGTCACCGACAGCACCGCTTGGTCACGTTTCTGTCAGTGGGCCTTGAGTAAGACAGCGTCCTGACGGGAGAACCCAACAACAAAAAAAGCACACTCATACCAGTACACGTTCGCGCCAAACAAGGACTGGTCGGACCTTTACGCCCCAGGCAAGGAAATCCAGGAGTACCTCCAGGGCGTGGCAGAAAAGTTCGGCGCCACGAGGTTTATCAAGACGTCGCATGAGGTGAAGGAGTGCGTGTGGGACGAGGCCAAGAGGAAATGGTAGGTTGCCTTTTTTTTAGTGGATCCGCTGGATGGCGTGTGGTGACATCGCCAGATGCTGACCGACCTCGCGCCGGCCTCAGGATCATCGAGGTCGTCCGGCTGCAGACAGGAGAGACCTTCAAGGAGGAGACCGACATCCTCATCAGCGCCCGGGGCCAGCTGAACGACATCGCGTGGCCGGAGATACCGGGCCTGGATAAGTTCAAGGGCAAGCTCCTCCATTCTGGTGACTGGGACACTACGTAAGTTCTTGCCAGTCCGTGAGTGAGAGGGAGAGAGAGTTTGTGGTAAAAACGAACGAAGAACTGACGGGTCCATTGGGCGCGCGAAAAGATACGACTTCAAGAACAAGAAGGTCGGAATTATCGGCAACGGCTCGAGCGCAATCCAGATCCTGCCGAATATCCGGCGCGTTGAGGGCGTGTCCGTCACTGTATTCGCGAGATCCAAGACATGGATTTCGCCGTCGTTTGGAATCGACGCCATGGCGGCTCTGGGGAAGACCAACGGGACCACAGAGTGTGAGTGTCCAATAATGCCTTGTCTATTCGACGCTGCATGATGGCATACGAGCCGAGCTAATCCGGCAACCTCTCCAACGCAGTTACTGAGGAGATGCGAGCACTGTTCGCAAAGGATCCCGAGGCATGGTTCAAGTTCCGCAAAGGAGTCGAGGACGGCGGCAACCTGATCCGTGAGTGACCTCCCAAGGGGCAATTCGTGCGAACATGCCAGCCTAACCAGAAATTCCCCCTCCACGCAGACGACTCCTTGATGACAGGCACCAAGATGCTCCAGGACTTCCGGGAGGGCATGACGGCCCTGATGCGGGAGCGCCTGGCCAAGAAGCCCGAGCTGTTCGAGCGCGTCGTCGCCGGCTTCTCGCCCGGATGCCGGCGCCTCACCCCCGGCCCGGGCTTCCTCGAGGCCCTGACCGAGGACAACGTCTCCCTTGTGAGCGAGGCCGTGGCGCGCGTGACCGAGACGGGCGTGGTGCTCGCCGACTCGGGCGCCGAGCACGACGGGCTGGACGCGCTCGTGTGCGCGACGGGCTTCCGCACCGCGAGCGCGCCGCCCTTCCGCGTCGTGGGCCGCGGTGGCCTCACGCTGGCGCAGCGCTGGTCCGCGCGGCCCGAGAGCTACCTGTCGCTCGCCGTCGACGGGTTCCCGAACCTGCTGCTCCAGTTCGGCCCCAACTCGGCCATCGGCTTCGGCAGCCTGACCAAGATGCTCGAGGCCGAGTGCGACTACGTCGTCAAGGTGTTGCGCAAGATGCAGAAGGAGGACTACGCCACCGTCGAGCCGCGCGCCGAGCGCGTGCGCGACTTCACCCAGTTCGCCGACGAGTACTTCAGCCGCACCGTCCACCTCGAGGACTGCAGATCCTGGTACCGCGCCGACAGGGGCAGGGGGCCCGTCGTCGCCCTGTGGCCCGGCTCGACGCTGCACGCGCTCGAGGCGCTGCGGTCGCCGCGGTGGGAGGACTTTGTCTTTGAGAGCAACGACACGAGTAGCAACATGCTCCGCTGGCTGGGCAACGGCTGGAGCACCACCGAGACCGAGGGCGACCCGTCTTGGTACATCAACCCAGAGGAGGTCGACTGGCCCATGGAAGGAAAGCCAGAGGACGCGCAAAGGCTGAAGAACCGGCCGTGGTCGTATTGATGAGCTCTATTTCGTTACTTGAGAATGTCGCAATTTTTGTGGTCCTGTATCCCAGCCTCCTGTAAGTGCATAATAAAAGCAAATGGGCGAGCATCTGTCCCAACAGCCCCTGTAATGTTCGTTTTATCCCACCAGCCCCAAAACGGATTTCTCAGCCGAGGCGAAAGGGCTCGCAGTTCAGCATGGCAAGCACATGGCATCGGAGGATCAATGGATTGACTATAGCACAGGGTGTATCGACACGGGAGGGAGTACAAAGGGAAGGGAAGGGTCTTTTGTTTAGTTCTATTGGTCTCCGGCCCTCTATTGCTTGGAAGCGACGATCCCTGTCGCATTGAAATAATGTTAGTTGTTTTCCAGCGCAAAGCAAGCGAGGCAGTGTCTTGGCATGGCAACTCACTCTCAACATCAGAAATGCTCTGCTGGAGAATGCGGTCGAGCGCCTTCGGGTTCTCAAGCTCCTTCTTGACCTTGGCGATAATGGACTCGGCGAGCTCCCTCTGCTCGCGCTGCTTGACCTGGCCCTCGTAGCGGACCCACGAGTCCAGAACGGTCTTGGCCTCGGCGGCCAGCGCGGTCTTCTGCTCGAGCTCGTAGGCCTGGGCCTCAAGCTGGGCGGTCTCCTGCAGGGAGGGGGTGACAAATAATCGAGTCAGTAAAGTGCAGCATACATGGCGGCCACAGCCGACGCGCCCTAGCATTCCGTACCTTGGAGACGGTAAACAGCGACTTGGTTATGTCAACGACGCTCGCCATCTGCTGGACGTTGCCGATGCGGTTCTTGACGGCCTGGGTGTGGTCGGCGCGGGCCGCGTTCAGGATGCCCTTGACCCTCTCGGCCTGGGCGTCGGCCCACTCGCTGTACATGGGGCCGCCGTACTTGATGACGGCGCCCCAAACGCTGAGTAGGCAGAAGGCCACGACGGTCTCCTCGTTGACGACGTAGTACTCGTTGGAGAGGGCGTAGACCGAGAGGGCGGCGGCGGACGAGAGGATGGCCGACTTGGACACCAGCGAGTTGCCGGGGATGGCGTCCATGAGCGACTGGGCCTTGGCCTTGGGGTCCTCGGCGGGCACGTTGGACGAGGCGCGCGTGGTGGTGAGCGACGTCAGCGCGGGCAGGGCCGCTCGCTGCTGGGCGAGGGCGGCGGGTCGGAGGCGGGCAGCCCCTGCGGCGGCGGGAGTGTGAGCGAAATTTGCACTGGCTCGGGTCTGGCTGCGGGCTCGAGGCCTTTCACGGTCCATGGGCGAAAACCCCTCGGGCGCCTCGGCCAATTGAGGCCATTGACCACATCCACGACGCGGGGGCGAGCTTACCGAGCGCGGTTCTGGCCAAGCGGGACGCCATTTTTGTGATGAGCGGAGATGGTGTTTGTCAACCGGGACGATGGGTTCGGGCGAGAGCTTGGGGGACCTTGGCTGAGGGATCTTGATTGAGGTTTTACCGGACCCGTGCTAATTCGGCATCCATGTCATGTGACGCCCGGAACATCTCGCAGCTTGGAACTTTGCTGCATTACCTAATCCACAGCTTCCCCTCTCGGACGAGGCTCGGGCTTCCGCGTAGCGATGACGCGGGCGGACGGGCCTTAATCGATAAGGTGCCGGCAGAC